GGGGAGACCTTCCAGCACCTTCCAGTGCTGAAAGGGGGCTACAGGAGAGATGGGGACAGACTTTCTAGCAGGGCCTGTTGCGATAGGACAAGGATCATGGTTTTAAACTAAAAGAGGGGAGATTCAGACTAGATATTAGGAAGAATTTTTTTAGATGAGGTTGGTGAGGCAGTGGCCCAGGTTGCCCAGAGAAGCTGTGGATGCCCCATCCCTAGAGGGGTTCAAGGCCAGGCTGGATGAGGCTTTGAGCAACCTGGGCTGGTGGGAGGTGTCCCTGCCCATGGCAGGGGGTGGCACTGGGTGGGCTTTAAGGTCCCTTCCAGCCCAAACCATTCTGGAATTCTCTGATCCTGCTCCTGATCCCATTGGTGGCTGGATCCTGGGCTCAGAGAGAGATGTGAACATCCAGAGACAGATCCCCACCCATCCCTTGTCACGGGGGACACCAGGGCCACACCCTGAAGGTCCCCACTCTGTTGTCATGTCCCCTCTGTGGCTGTGCCCAGCAGCCCTGCACCACCCAGTCCCTTGTGCCACCCCGCTCCCTGCACGGGGACCCCCAGGGTCTTCGTCCCCTCTAGTGCCATGACCCCTCCCAGCCCTGCCCACCCTCCCTACCTGGCCAGAAGCCCCTCAGCCCCCCTCCCTGTGTTACAGAGAGACCCGTGGAAGATGTCGAACCCGAGAAACAGTGACACCAAGCCCCCATGTTTGCCCCGCAATGGACTGGTGAAGATCCCCACGCAACCCAACGGCATCGGCTCCGCCAGCATCACCAAAGGCACCCCCGCCGTGAAGAACCGCCTGTGCCAGCCTTCCTCCGTGCCTGCCATCCTCAGCCCGGCCTTAGCCCACCGCAGTGACCTGCCCATCCCCAGCCTGGCCTCCCCACTCTCCTTGGCCACTCTGGCCAGTGTCTCCTCCCCTCCCGGTGCCTCCTTGGTGGGACTGAACACGAGCGAAGGCTCGGAGCAGCCCTCGCCAGAGCGGCTGCCCAGCTCACCCTCAGAAAGGCAGCTGGCGGTGGACGAGAAGATCCTCAACCGCTTGTTCTGGTACTTTTCGGCGTGCGAGAAGTGCGTGCTGGCACAGGTGTGCAAGGCGTGGCGACGGGTGCTCTACCAACCCAAGTTCTGGGTGGGTTTGACACCTGTCTTGCACACCAAAGAGCTCTACAACGTCCTGCCCAGTGGCGAGAAGGAGTTTGTCAGCCTGCAGGGCTTTGCCGTGCGCGGCTTTGACGGCTTCTGCCTCGTGGGCGTCTCCGACCTGGACATTTGTGAGTTCATTGACAACTACCCCCTCTCCAAGAAGGGGGTCAAGTCCATGAGCCTTAAGAGGTCGACCATCACGGACGCAGGGTTGGAGGTAGGTGTCCCCAGCACCAGTGAGATGACTGGGGTGGTCAAGACCCAATGGTGGGTCCTTCCCAGTGCCCCTGGGGACACGTGCTATAAAGCTTTAACTGGACACAACCCAGCCAGCCACCCCTGGGAAGAGCCACCAAGCGTCAGGATCCCCTGCCTGTGGTCCGGGCACTAGGATGGGCTGCAGCACCCCAGGTGGGGGGTGAGGATGGTTTTGGGGGGGTTCATCCCACCTGCCTGCAGGTGCTGCCCTCACCCGTCCGTGCTGGGAAGGCAAAGCCGTGCCGTTGGGTGGTGGATGTGGTGGTGGGTGCTGAGAAGGGCTCAGGGGACGGGAACATCCCTGCTTGGCTGGCTGCTCCCCAGCAAGGGGGGGTCACGGTCAAATGGAAATGGGGCAACTCATGGTCTTGTACAAGGCCAAGCGAGGTTCCCGCCGAGGTCCCCTGCCCCGCGCCGGGGCCAGACGCAGCACCAGCTGTGCCACAGCTGCATCCCCCTACCAGTGCCCAGGCTGGGAGCGGGCATTAATCCTGCCCCCAGTGGAGGCACTTGGT